CTGCTGCTGCTGCTGCTGCTGCTGCTACTGCTGCTGTCTTCTGCTGTTGCTGTTGCTGTTGGGATCTCCCAGCGCCTCCTGGTTGGAGCCGTTGCGGGGCTGCTGCTCTTCGCTGCTGAAATGTCTGCTGCTGAGGCAGCAACAACTTTTGCTGCTGCAGCAACAGGAGAGCTGCTGCCCCCAAGGCCAGCCAGCAGGCCCCCAGGCACTCCTATCCCGCTGCTGCCGTGCTGCTGCATCGCAGCAGCAGCAGAACCTTCAGCAGCAGCAGCTGGAGCGCTCCGGCTTGAGGGCCCCTCCCTCAGCATCATAGAACCCAACAGAGCATCGAGTGTCTTGGGGCGGCTGGGCGAGGCCCCTGTAGAGCCAGCGGGGCCCCCAGGGGCCCCCAGAGCGACACCTGCGCTGCTGTTCACGCCGGGGAGGCCCCTGGCTAACGAACCTGGGGCCCCCCCAAACCCCCTCCTATGCGAGGCAGCAGGACCCAGAGAGCTGCTACTACTGCTGCTACTGCTGCTACTGCTGCTGCTGCTGCTGCCAGCAGCGCCAGCAGCCGCGGGGCGGGGACGCCCCACTCCTGCTGCAGGCCTGGGTTGGTACATGGTGCTGCTGTCGCGATTGGCGACAACCAGGCCCGTTGCTGCTGCTGCTGCGGCTTGNGCTTTGGGGACCTGTGTCTCCGTTGCAGATGGAGGGAATGGAGGGCTGCAAGCGACAACCGCGTTCTACAGACTGCTGCTGCTTATGGAGCTTCTGCAGCTGCGAATACCAGCAGCAGTAGCTGCAGCAGCAGCAGCAACAACAACAGCAGTAACGGCCCTATATGCCACCCCCCACAGGCGCCCCTAGGAGGTAAGGCGAGTGCAGCAGCAGAAATAACAGCTGGGGATGTCGCCAACGAATGGAGGAGAAGATAGGAGGGGAGTGGGAAGGCGAAAGTTATGCTGCAACAGCAGCAAAAGGAGCAGCAGCAGCAGCAGCGGCGGCTGCTGCTGCTGCAGAGCTGAGGATGTCTGCCAGGGGTCCAGCCCCTGCTTTGTTCACCCCAAAAACAACGAAGAGGGAGAGAAAACAAATATTATTTGCCGTTGCTGCAGCAAGAGGCACTCTTCGCACGGCGCCCACAGGCCAAAGAAGGAACGGAGGAGCCCGAGGGTTTCAGCAGCGCTTAGAAAAGCAATAAAGAAAATGAGCAGAATAAATCAATTTCTACTTTATTCATTTGTTCCTCTTCCCGCCAAATACGCAAACTCTGTTCCACTTCACACTCCACCGCCCCTCGCAACCGACTAGTAGTAGCAGCAGCNAGCAGCAGCTGCTGCTGCTGCTGCTGCTGCAGTAGCGGCATAGTTCTGGTGCTGCTGCTGCACGTGTCTGCTGCTGCATCTGCCATGCATCCAAACACCATGATCTACTGCAAAAGATAGATGCATATTTCATTTCATTTATTTTGCATAGTTGCTTCTACCCAACACCGCTCTCCACCCGCTCAGTATTCTCTCTAGGGTGAATTTGTGCATGTAGTCTGATCTGGGACTTTGTTGTTTTCATATTTTTTTATTTTATTAAACACCAAAAACATTATTATTATAATATTTCACCCAACCATAATAAAAGCATTGCTTTCACCAGCTTGCATCTCGGTAACCTACAGCAACACAGCACTCCTGCAATTCATATTAACTTGAATATATTGAAACACTTGACGCAGACAGGTGGGCCTAATGCTCTAATATATATAAGTATATATATGTATATATATATTCATGTATATATATATATTTATCTCAAGGCTAACGACGGCCAGAGAAGGAACACGTCAACAAGTGTGTAGGTTGCTAGCGCTCCTATGTAGAAGGGGGGCTTCTTCACGCTCACACTTCTTGTTGTCTTGCTGCAGCTGTTGCAGCTAAGCNTCCTATGTAGAAGGGGGGCTTCTTCACGCTCACACTTCTTGTTGTCTTGCTGCAGCTGTTGCAGCTAAGCACGCTACCAGCTATATTTACATATATATGTATATATATAAATAATTTATATATAATACCCAGTCACAGGACCCCTTGCCGCTGTGTGCAGTACACTGGGGGAGCCTGGCTTACACCGATCGCTGCTTTTTCTCTTACGAAGGATACACCTGAGTTGAGAAAGCTTGAGCAAGGTCTATCAAGGGTATATTTATGAATATAAGTATACATAGAATATATATAGTATAAAATATACGATATAATATACACTATTTAATATAAAATATATGTAAGCGATATTTGCTGATATCCATCGTGAGCGGCAGTAAAGCCAAAATAGAAAAGATAGAAATTAAAAAAAAGAAACTGATCTGAGATTCGCGGGCTAGGGGATACAAGGGCCGGACAAGGGGGACGAAGAGGCGGCGGCCTGCGGGGCGTTGCAGCGTATCTTGCTGCAGCTCGTGATGCAAGCCAAACGCTCATATAAGCCCCTTTATACACGTGTAACTATAGAAGTAGATAGTTTTTAAATGCTTACTACAGCCTGGCTAGCCACTCAGAAAGCAAGCAGAAATACATATACCAGCTTCAGATAGACCTAGTACGGAGAGGGAGA